TGGGGCTAAAGAGCTGTTGCCCCCATCTCGAATGGTATGACTGTCGTGTGTTTTTAAATTATGTATTGTTATGTTTTTGTCTTTATTTTCTGTCTGTACCCCCCTTACCTGATTTGAATTGTGAGCCGCCCTGAGTCCCCTTCAGGGGAAAAGGGCAGCATATAAATATAATAAAATCAAATCAAATCAATCAAATCACTTGCAAAACATTAATATAAGCTATTTTATACATTAACCCTTGAATAGCATGATAGTTACAATTATACCACTTTTGGAACGGTGCAGAAAAAAATTGTTAAAACATTATTGCATCTCTATTTAGTCGTCTCTTTTGCAAACCCAATATCAGTTGTTTCTTTTAACGGTTCCACACAGGCTTGGTGTTTAAATGCCTTATTATTGTGGTTGCTGTCCTATGGTTGTGTTCCAATTTCTCCACATTCTTTTGAAATTGCATTACCCAGACTGCACCCCATATTCCCAAGTGCAACCTAGCCAGCAAAAAGTACAGTGGAACTATTAGCATAAATCTGTGGAAAGCATTTTTAATATCATCCAGGATTGCATGCATCTTTTTCCCCGCTACATCACTGGTCTGGATCATCTTCATCTGATGCTCCATTACTAGTTTTGTTTCACAATGTAGGTCATAAAATTGGGTGCAACTCACTTAACAACTGCCTTGTGTAGCAACAAAAATTCTGGTCCCAATTGCAGCAGTAAGTTGACAACTGCCTGTACTATACAATACAAGTGCTCCACCTTTAGAACTCATAACTCAGACCACTACAGGAAAACCAAAAAAAGCCAATTATACACCAAGATGAACGTATTGTAGATTTTTAAAAACTCCTTCCAAACTGCAGAGCAGAATGTCTCAATGTTTATTATAGCTATTTTTCCTGTCACTTCTTGAATGATTCTTTTCAGGGTTTGACATCTTGGCTGTAGTAAAGATATGGTTCCTAAAAGGAGGATGAAAGAAACCTCCATCTGTATTCTCTGCTTCTTGTGCTTGCTGGGAATTTCGGCTCCTTGTCTTGTTGCCCGGGTATGTAGGAGTAAAAAAGAAACATGAGCTACTTAAGGATCAGGGGGATAGTTGGAAACAGGGTGACTCATGATTGGTGCAATGGAGGGGGGATCTTTCTGAAGCAGAGATATTATGTATGCCCAATATTTAAAATCCATTACTGGCTCAAAACAGGATAGAATTTCTAAAAGTGTTTTTTCAATTAGATTTTCTTTGTTTTTCCTTGAAGGCGTTTTGCTTCTCATCCAAGAAACGTCTTCAGCTCTGGTTAGAATGAAATGGAATAGAATAGAATAGAATAGTTGGAGGGACCTTGGAGGTCTTCTAGTCCAACCCTCTGCATGGCAGGAAACCCTACACCACTTCAGACAAATGGTTATCCAACATCTTCTGAAAAACTTCCAGTGTTGGAGCATTCACAACTTCTGGAGGCAAGTTGTTCCACTGATTAATTGTTCTAACTGTCAGGAAATTTCTCCTTAATTCTAANCAGAGAACCAGTTGTTAAATTATTTGAATACCACCACTGTATGCATAAATGCATGCATGCATACATACATACATACATTTCCTCTCTTGGAGTAAAATAAAATTTTAATTGATGATTCAGACTAGAAAAAATTTATAGGAACTTCAATTTGCCCAGCCATCTCAATGTTGCTGTTCTGATTAAATTCAGAGTTTACTTTCCCTGTGTACAGCTTACAGCTTATGTAAGCAATAACTGATGATAAGAAAGAAAATAATACTGGTGAATGAATGGATTGTGAGAGATGCTAAAATCTGGGATAAACAAATTTGTGTTTGCCACATGCATGAGGGATAATGAGAGTTTTGCCGGCAGTCATCTTCACCAGAAACCTTCTTCCCATCCCCAAAATCTTCTGCCACATTCCCAGACACCCAGAGGGGTCTTTGAGGAAGATCTTTGTGAATGATGACAAGTGGACATAAGAAAAGCCACTTCCGATCCACTCCCCAACCACCCATAGTCTGTCCCAGGCTGTGTAAGTAAATAGCAGCTCACTGAATTGTATTGAGAAATTGACCAAAAACAAATAAAGGTCTTTATCACGGATCAACAGTTTTTCTTAATCAATGACTGGTGCCAGTTAATAGCTCCTATCTTCTGTTTTGAAATACATTCTGTTTCAAGGCTGTCCTCATAGCAGACCCTTATAATGGCATAATCTAATCATGAACTCACCTGACATGTATAGCTTTCTCTCTCCAAAAAGACTGTCAGTTCTGGATGAGTAAAAGAATCAATGAGCACTAAGTAAATAAACAATTAGTAAAATAAATAATGGGTTAGTGCAAGCCCTTACCCACTCATTGTCTTTTGGTACTTTATGACCATATTTTTTTCCACCATTTTACCCATGGAAGTGGCCCAATAAACTGGTGTAAGGGAAAGTGCAAAATAGCTCTTTTTTATTTTAGTGAAACTTTTCTTACCAGATATCAATCCATCACATTATTTCAAATATCAATTTATACTTGAACGTATACTTCTCAGTGTGTAAAGCCCACCATCCAAAGCCTCTGTTAAGAAGCCTGGTGAAGTGAAAATGAGTAAAATGGATCTTGGTGTCTTCCAAGAACATCTGCAGGATATGACAAAAAAAAAGTCAACATGGGAAACATAACAATACAAACAAAGCTCTGCCTGGTGTTGATATACATTGATGCACATCAAATTGATGATATTGATGATATGCAAGACATATGAAAAACAGGCAGAGTTTCAACCTCTCCATTGTGTCTGTCATCTTGATTTTTCCCCCATAGCCCATCATGCACCAGAACATTGGCAGCTGTCCATTACTTCTATAGAATAGAATAGAATAGAATAGAATAGA